TCAAGGATTCTCCGATAGAGGCGTTTATGGTATTTGTCAGTCACTTTGGCCTGCGTTACCACGAGCATCGATAAAACAGAGGGAGTCGGTAAATGTAACCTCGCAACACGTGGTGGATCGTATCGATTGTTTTGTTACGCTGTTGCCATTCGACAATTCTGCCCGTCAGGAGAACGATGGAACAGCTACGGCCTACGGCTCGTGGCGAGATTTCGATTCTCGCGGAACGTAGGAAATAACGACGCGAGGGAAAGAAATCCGAGAATTAAACAATACGTACTAATGTGTGCAAGGATGAACCTTCTTATTCGTACTTGCAATGATGCTTATTTTTTTAATTAATGAAATTACATACGAGATACTTGACATGATATTCTCGAGAAACAAATTGTAAAAATGGCACAATATATATTCCGGGTATTCCACATACGAAAAACATGGAATACTATACAAATCTCTTGTTGGAAATGATATTTATTTATTTTTTATTGACATAATTGACGCAGGTGTTATATACTTACACAAATATTTCATAAAAGAGACACAAAAGGAACACAATTAATCGCATACGCTCTGTCAATCTTTCATTCGTCGCCCAGCGGAGATAGATTTTGTACTAACAACTGATTGCTGTCGCATGCGTACTTAGCGTATCATCTTCGCTGCGTCTGCATCTGTTCCAGTACGTATTTTGTTTTAAAAATTGGACCAAACGACTTGAGTTTTTTTGAGAAGCTAGAAGGATTAACTTATTAGATGACATGTTTTCGTTATTTCGAAAAAATTACAATTGTTGGAATAGCGAAGAAAATAGTAAAAATATTAAAGAAGTTCTTTTTTCATTTTTTTTCTGATCCTATAGTGAAAATTTAACAAATACCTCTTATACACTTAATTAAGATACATACACGCTGAAAATTGCAGGGTATAAGTTACAAACTATTAAAAGTGGTTAGACTTACAAGTTTGAGTTACAAATAAGTTATAAAACTAAAATACTCGTACTTTCGACTTATAAACCTGAAGATTTTTTACTACTTCGGCGCTCGTAGCTTCTTTGCTTTGACCGACGAATTTTGTTATGACTGGGTCCGATAATGGTGGCCTGACCTAGGTCACTCTGAAAGTCACCATCGGGTGTCGATCGAAAACGAAGAGACAGGAATACTGTTTCGTTGAACGTCGACTAGAATGGTCATAAAACCAGCTTTCGATTTCACTATTGTTATTAAGCAGTATTATTGATATATATACATAGATAGTAATGATATACTTAGTCATGGCAATAAAGAAACTGTAACATCGCAGCTTCACTTTTCTTTTTCTTAGATATACATATAAGTGTACAAGAGGCATATTTCAAATGTTCATTATAGGCTAACATAAATAAGTTGAAAAAAGTGTCTGTTA